CAGTTTGCCTTTCAGGTATTCACCACAGACAGCTGAAGAAAAGTTTTAAGGGTCATGAAAACAGGTTATTATGTGTTAATGCTGAACTTTTTAATTTTAATTTTTTGGGGTAGGAAATTGACATTGTGTCTCATTAGTTTAGGCTGGTCTTGAACCACGTACTGTGAACTAAATAGTTCCATGAACCATGAGCCATAAACCAGGCAAGCGTCAAACTTCCAGGGAAGGCGTGTGTCACCACAACCAGCTTTTAATTTTAACTTTTAAAAAACATGTTTTTAATTTCAGTAAGTTCTTAATTTAGTGGAATTTCTTAAAGGTGTTTAACACCTTTTTAAATATCTTTAAAAAGAAACAGAGGAGACAAAGTTATGTACTGACTGCTTAATAAAAATGTGATCAGAGGCTAACCTTGTATTTTCCCTTGGAGCAATAGCTCAGCTTTTGCTAAGTCAGCATTCATGGAGGTTGTATTACATGTAACTACCACAAAGAAGAATTGACTGGTGAAATTGAGTACAAGTCTCAGCCTCTTGATACCACTCAGCAAAAAAGGAAGGAATCAGAATTTGGAGCCAGCAGTATCATTCCAGAGACCTGGATTTCAAATGTGACATCTAGCCAGGATGTCAAAAAACTGTATTGCCAGGCAGGGTGGCACCTGCCACCCAGTTATTCCAGAGTCTGGGGTAGAAGAATCACAAATTTAAGCCCAGCCTCAGCAAGCGAGATCCTGCTTTAAATAAATACATAAATGAGGCCAGGGATTTAGTTCAGTGGTTCTGCCGCCTGCTTCACAAGAGCGAGGACCTGAGTTTGATTCCCGGTACCAAAAAATAAAAAATAAATATATAAATGTATGTATGTATGTGTGGAGCTGAGGGTACAGCTCAGTGCAAGGCTCTGGGTTCAATTCCCTCTGCTGGAAAAAAAAGAAAAGGAAGCACAAGAGGAGGGAAGGAAGGAAGGGTATTCAATAACTAAGATGAACAAGCTTTGAGTTGGTATATTTCTGTCCAGAAGGCACTTGAAACAATCTGTGACGAGAAAAAAAAAGCTGGAGAGTTGAAGTGTACTCTTCTCTGCTTCATCTGCTGTAGTGAAAAGAGCATGTCTGCCCTGCATTACTCTTTACAATACTCCTAGGGGCAGCTATCCAATTCTCAGAGCTCTGCTCTCAGTAGATACCATGTTCCAAGTGACCCTGATCCACTATAAGATGTGATAACATAAAAATTAAAATGATCTAAAAGAAAAGCCAGGAGTGGGAGCACCCATTTATAAACCTGGCACTTGGGAGGGTGAATCAGGACTGCACTGAGTTTGAGGCCAGCCTGGAGTGAGTTCAAGGCCAGCCTGAACTACACAGTGAGACCCTGTCAAAAGAATGAAAGAAAGAAAGCAGGAAGAGATTTTCTAAGCCTTAAGAGATTTTTGTGGTGAGGTAAGTTGTCACACAAGACATCATCTCCAGAACAGAATCCACGAGAAGCAGTATTTTCCCAGAATCCAACACTTTACAAGCCCTGAGAAATACTACACTGACCAGTTTGCCTATAAATCTGGACATTCCAATGGACTTACAAAATTCATGGCCACCCTAGTTTTTGTCAGCTCATCTGTTTCCAGACACCAAATTTACCTCAGTACTTATTTTCCCCAAAGAATTATTTTGCTATAAAAGTCTTGGTTCTGCTTGACTTCGTGGAGGACTTGCTCAGTTTCTAAAGCAAGCTGATATTTTCCCAATTAGCAAATCTATTCTTCACTCAATAAAACTGTCTTTTATGTCAGCCTCATGTATGACTTCTTGGTTGATAGGTGCTAGAGTCCTATTTGAGAGAGTAAGTTTCCTTGTATGCTGGGCCATCTTGGCCAGACATTTCTCCTGTCATCTGAAACCTCCATTCTAGTAAGACTGTAAATTGGAAATCAGTAAATACAGTGATATCTCAGTTGTTGAACAGCTCCAAGCTTGAACTTTCCACTACTTGGACAGCAAAGTTTGAAAAAATCTGCTCAGTGTTCGTAACTTTGCTGGATAGTCAAACCGAAAATCTGACTTGAAAACTCCTGTACAGGCTGAGAGTGAGTCACGTGTCACCTCTCACCTGGGAGGCAAAGGGGTGACATTTTGCTCTAAGCACTGCTCTTACCCAGACAATATACAGTGCTTGTATAATTTTTGGGCCTCAGAACCAACTGTTTGGTTTTCCATTATTTCTTATGGGAAAAAATATGTTCAGTTCTCAAATGTTTTCAGTGTCTGGACACCAATCTGGAATGAATTTTTGAGTTCAACAACCAAGGAATCATTGTATTTCCTATAAAAAGCAAGGAAGTGAGTATCTTAGGCTTTGTGAGCTACATAGTCTGCTGCAACTACTCAACTCAGCCCTTTTATTGACAGAACAGCCACAGACAATATCTAATGAAGAAGCACGACTGTGTTCCAACAAAGCTTTATTTACAAAAGCAGATGGAGGGTCAGTCATGCCCTTCTCTAGAGAGAAGAAAGTCTGCCTCTCTGGTAATTTCAGGAGTAGAATTAAAAATAGTCTGTTTTGCTAATGAAAACAGTCATAGACATTTTTCCATAAGTACTTCTGTGTGTACTTTTATTTCAATATTGTAGAGGAAATCACAGCCTTTAAAAGTGGTACCAGAATATAGATAAACATAAGTATAAGCCAACCTGAATGAATTAGCACTTATTTAATGAAAATAATAATTTCTAGAACACAATAAACCCTAATATAGTACTTGTTTTTACACCAGCTATTTATAATACAAGTACTGATTCATCAGAGACATAAAGGATACCATCTTTGATCTAGTCCCTTAGGAACTGTAAAAAGATAAATACCATCTAGCATCTGGGTGCTAAATAAAAGAACTGGAGGGCTAAATAAACAGAAGAGTCTATCAAATTTTAGGAATTCAATTTTATCCAAAGCTTTGGCATGTAAAATCTCCTATGTGCTGTCTCATCTCCACTAACTTCAGAATGGTGGCAAAGAGCATGAGTAACCTCTGCATTTTCCTGGGAAGTCTTATGAACTAATTTCCTTTCAAAATTTCTGAGATGTCAACACTGCATCCAATGAAAGGCACACACTGATAAACCTAATAAACTATAAAAGCTCCAATAAAATTAAGGGCACTTTCCGCCCACTTATAAATCATTCTGACTGTAATGATTGCTCAAGACACTCTCTCTTGCTCTGAGAGACTGTGCTCTCCCAAACAGCCCTTTCATAATGAGCAAGGTTTCAGTTTTTAAACACTGACAAAATTATTCATATCAGGAGCTGAAAAGATACTCTCATTCTTGCTGTCACTGAAATGCAGTACTGGAAGACAGGAACAATAAGCAAAGGAGTGGTGGGGGCAGGGTAAGTGTGAGGATTAGCAGAGTTCCTTTAGTCTTGTTTCACTGTCACTTGCTATGTTTTCACACTTTCTAAGTCAGCAGGGACCACACACTCAGTTGGGATGATACAAGCTACTGTGAACTCCCAAAGCTTTCCAGACTGCAAAGCTGATCACACCAGTAACATGGGAGGCACACAGTGAGACTACCCCATAGCTTACAAGGTGAAAAAAGACCCACTCTCCTATAAGGCAGCTGTGGCCTACTGCACTTCTTGAACCATTCAGTGCTTTTCATTTTAGCCACTGATAATTGTATAACACATCCAGCTAGCATCCAGCTGCAACAAAACTAAGGAAAATTCCACCTTTAATTAGGAAAATCCAGTCGTTTATAGACGCAAGAGCCTCGAGTCTAGAGGGCTCCCCAGGTCGAGTGCTCTGTCTCCTTATTTCAGCCTGCAGTACTTTAGACACTGATTTCTGAAGAGGGCAATTAGTTGTTCAGGTGTATTTTCACTGGCAAAGGCAGCAAGGACACTCTACTCGTTAGAACTAAGCTAGTTAGGAAATTAAAGCAAACACAAAGCAGAAAGATCTTGTCTTCACATGTTCTCCCACAGCTGGCGTGGGTCATGGCGAATCTACACCTTCTCCAAGTAAATTCCACACCAGGTGAAACTGTGAGGCTACTGGAGATCGGGAGTGACATCGCGTTTCCAGTCTACCCACAATTCTGAGCTGGAGAGTTGATACTGTGGTTGCACTCTCAGCTTTTAAATTTCCCAGACCAGGAGCTCAAAACAGGTTCTAAAATTGTAAGGACATAAAGCCTTTCCACTTTATTCCCATGAATTATCATCTTTCACAGGCTTTGGTTTGAATTTCGGGAGGGGGTGGTGTCGAAGAGGGTTTCACACACGGTGGGATTCAGGAACAAAACTAGTGACTTGCAAAGCCTATTTCTAGTTAAAGTCAAATCCTATAGACTCTCTTCCCACTTTTACTCCACATCTGGCAAATTACAAAACACTCTGTAAGTCTGTTTCTGTGCCTGTAAAATGAAGGTGAAGTTAGTTCCCCGCCTACTGTTGCAGAATTAAACCAGTGGCTCTGCAGGTAATCAGCACAGACCTGGAAGGTTGCAGGCGCTCAACAAAACAAAACAAAACAAAACAGTCCCTACTATTACTTCTAGAAAACCCCAGAGGTGACCCCGGGGGCTGGAAGACAGTGAGTCGGCGAGCTCAGGAACCCGGCAGGAGCAGACAGCAGGTCCTCGCGAGGCGCTCAGGGACCACGGCGGGGATCCGCCCATCCCAACCCGGCATCCTGGATTCTCCCAAACGGCCACGCGCACAGCTGCAGCGGAGCTCAGGGAGCGCCCACTTCCGCCAGTGACAGACCAAAAACAGCTCCTTCCCAGCGGTCGCCCACCCCGGAGCCCGGCCGAGCG